AGAGCACTGCTGTGAGGGGGATGCAAAGATTTCGTTTTGCAGCAAGCGGAAACCACTTTTTTTTCCCAAGACGTACGGTTAACCACAGCTCTTTTGAAATAAACTTGTTACTTGAGCATAAAGAAAAGAGGTTAAAAAGGGTCCCCTCAGAGTCACAAATAAACAAGTTTGAAAACACGGGCTGCACATATGCTATAATAAACTCATTCTCCTAATCATCCTGTAATGGACCACTTCTTCAAGAGTGGGAGCACTTTATGCCACACAGGAAACTGTTTTCAAACAACCTCCTGCTTTCTTTTTGAAACTTCTGGTCAGAGGGTTGAGCACACTTGACCCATGAACTTCAACACCCTCTTCATCCACTGTTTTGTGGCCTCAGTCTATGATAGGGCTGCACGATTAATCGCATGCGATATTTAACGCACATCTTGTCAGAAAGCCGGTTCTGTAATCAGCGGTAAATCTCCATCACCTGCGTGCTTTCACATTGAGCAGCATTAACTACACAGAGCCATTGTTCACTGATGAGCTGCGCAAAAAATCGCGCGAATATGAACGTGGTTTTGCGCAACTCGTCAGTTTAAATTTTATATATGGGTCTCATTTAAAGTTTATATGTAGTGTTTATAATGATTTAAATGTGCAGGTGTTATAGCACAATTCTTAACACCCCTCGAGACCTCACTAATTTTCAAACCCTGGTTATGGCCATGTTGTTGTTTTTTTGTTTAGTTTTTTCCAAGTATTATTTTATTAGTTTTATTATTTAGTTTTATTATTTATTTTTAAATATTTTTCAGATTAAATGGCAAAGTGAACTGTGCTTGGTTGCTTTATGTCAGTCAGATGGCCTCTTCTTTTCTAAGTGACTAGAAGATTCATGGCCAGAAAAAGCTACAGTGAGCACCAGTTAGTGGTCTGGTTCTGTGAGTCTTCTACTCACATGGCTGTATTTTTTTAATTTGATTTTTTTAAGGGTATCAAAGCAATGTGGACAAAAGTAGGTTCAGACAGGTCACAAGACACGGGAACGTTAATTAGTCTCAAGTCTGTGGGTACATCTGTAGTATAAGTCATGCCTCAGTAGTCTCTCACAGCTGGCTAATTTTCTTTTCCTTTGCACTCAGAGGATTATGTTAGTCGAGACGTCTGTCTGAACTTTGAGGACTCCTGCATCTTGATTGTGTCTGCTTTGGGGGCCACACAGCCTATTTTCTCCATAGGTGGGCAGCCTCATATCACTGGAGGGCTGATTTCTGTTAACTCAAACTATCCTTTAATGCTGCTAGCTGGTGCTGAATGTCTCTGTTTTGGCAAGAAAAGGTGATATTTGTGGAGCTTAAAGGCTTTACTGAAGGGGACATTAAATTATTATCTTTGAAATTATTTATCTTAGCTATCTATGTTTTTCCCTCTTTCGATTGACTTCGAGTTCATTAGGAACTAGGACTGCAACAAACGATTTTGATAATCGATTAATCTAACTATTATTACAGCAATTAATTGACTGATCATTGATTATTTCACAGATTAATCTAGTGTTGTCACGGTACCAAAATTTCAGTATTCGGTACCAATACCAGTGAAAATCCACGGTTCTCGGTACCAATTTCGGTACCAAAGCAAAACACAAAAACATGCTAATTAAAAAATTTGACTATACTTTCATTTAATCCAAACTATGTACATATTTAATTTTAAAGGGCTTCAGCCAAGAATAACAACTAAGTTAGCAAAAAAAAACAAAAAGCCCAGAACGGCTTTTCTGACTGATATGACACAATGTTAACCATTTGTACATTCTTTAACACGCATATTTTAGATTCACAATTCATTTAAAAATAGTAAATATCATCCATATGCAACAAATTCATTCTCTGCCAGCAGGAGGTGCTTGTAGAGCCAGAGAGAGAGGTTTCCCCGGTAACACTGTACACATAGCAGCGCTCCGCTCACAAACGCTGCTCAGGCATTACAGGCAAAATTTTATGAAAATGACATCCATAATTTTCTGAAGACAGTCGGTTTCCTTCAAAAATACAGTGATATAAAAACACCCGCACTCAAGGTATGGGAAACACTGTAGTCTCATAATTGAAGCGTAAATTCTGCAGATTAAATAATTGTCCAGTATTGTACTGTCACCGTAACGTTTTCATTTTTTTAGTACCAACTTTGTACCGAAGTACCCTGGTCTTTTGACAACACTAGATTAATCAGAAGGCTTTGTTCTATTATTCAGCTTTTACAATTAGTTAAAATATTGAGTTACGCATATTCTAACTAATAAATAAAACAAGGTAATCACTTCAGCTTTTGAAAATTTCAAACAATTATATTATTGTAACACAATTACAATTATACAATATTTTTTGACAATACAAATAAATATATTTGGCACACAAAATGAGATGACACACATAGAGACTTTCTTATTCACCATTTAATTAACTGTATGTAAAAGTAACTGACTGATGCAACATTCTGCCTGACATCTCCTTTTGTAAGTCGTATGGATATGGAACAAAATAAAGGTAAGGGATAAGATTTTATTTTGGGGTAAATTATTTTATTCAAAACATTTGCTCTCTTAAAACACCTTACATTGTTATAATGATCAAAACAATATTGAGCTAGATTAAGCTTTAATCTTTAATCACTTTAATGTAATATGATTTTTTTTTTTTTGCATTCACTAATAAAAAGATTTTATCATTAGCTAGCTCCACACTGAAGAGCTGCTTAATAACACATAATCAAGTTGTAATTCTAACTGAAAGCAACACTGACCCTTTTTTTTCATATTTAATACTGTTTTTTTTTTTTGTGTTTATTTCATTATTGAGAGGAAAGAGCACAGCACATATTTACATATTCTTTTAAAAGCTGTTCTCTGCAGCGTCTAGTTCAGCTCTCAGATGCGGCTTTATAAGCGCGGGCCTTGGGTGTGAGCTCACAGAAATGGGTCTCACAGAGAGCGCACAAGTACTGAATTGAGCACTTGAATGTTTCAAAATGTAAGACTCAAAAGCATGTGCAAATGATATGTTCTGTCATCTGTCCCGAGCGTCTTTCATGCTGAAATATTTGTGGGAACTTCCCACGTTACAAGCGTGGAAACTGCAGGAATGAGTAGAATTATGCACGATCCCCACAATCCCGCGGTGAAATTCAAGCCCTGGTACAGATGTTTTCATCATTGATAATAAGAAATTATTCTGAGCATCGAATCGGCATATTAGAATGATTTCTGAAGGATAATATGACACTGAAGACAGGTGTCATGGCTGTGGAAAATTTAAGGTATATTAATCTAGAAAACAGATATTTTGAATTGTAGTTTTTTCACAGTATTACTGTGGTGTTTTTTCCCCCCTGTATTTTTGATTAAATTGCACCTTGGTGAGCAAAATACTTTTTTTCAAAAACTTTGACCCCAAACTTTTGAGCAGTAGTGTATATTGATTTCATTTTGTCTCTAAGGGTGTACATCTAAAACATCTAAAATTTTAGCAAAAAATAAAAAGATAATAATAATCATCTACTGTTGTTTGATAGGTATGTTTTAGAAAGGGTATGTGTACTCCCATCCCCCTTATGTTTGAGCAGACCCCATGACAGACTGAAGGGCTCCAGTCACCCTCAACGGGGCCTTTCAGTCATGATAAGGTTTGCCCCAAGGCATGGCAGAAGATTCCAGCTGTCAATCAACTTCAAACATCATTGTGTCTCATTCGTGTGGGAAACGTGCCTCCACTTTAGATTTCAGTCTCGTGTTCATCATCACTGCCACTCTCCAGCTGTTCATTGAGGGCTGGTTGCAGTAGAACTGGGATCGCAGGTGTGCTGTGCTGACTGGGAGAAAGGCTTTTCAGGTCTAGTCTCTCCCAGGAATGTAGCCTGGAAGGAAACACTGTTTAGATTACAGCGTCGTTAGAAAATGGAGGCCAGGGAGGGGAGAGCAGAGATGTTTTGCTTTTTTTTTTTTTTTAAAGTGAAAGGGACGTGACATGTGGCCAAGTATGGTGACCCATACTCAGAATTAGTGCTCTGCATTTAACCCATCCAAAGTGCACACACACAGCAGTGAACACACACACACCGTGAACACACACCCGGAACCGTGGGCAGCCATTTTTTTGCTGCGGCGCCCGGGGAGTAGTTGGGGGTTCAGTGCCTTGCTCAAGGGCACCTCAGTCGTGGTATTGAAGGTGGGAGAGAGCGCTGTACATTCACTCCCCCCACCTACAATCTCTGCCGGTACGAGACTCAAACCCGCAACCTTTGGGTTACGAGTCCAACTCTCTAACCATTAGGCCACGACTTCCTTGAAGTCCTTAAACATAAACATACTACACTTGAACGTTTTTCCTTCACTGTATGGAGGAGGTGGCAACTGAGGATATTGTTCTTGGTATAAAGGATGAAAAGCATTCCATGTGGTTCTAAATGGACAGGCTAGAGAGAGAGGAATGAACTGTGGTCAAAACTTGGGCAGCAGTCTTGGTAGTTTCATAGGTCCCATCAGCTTTATGTGAAACATTCTAGAATATCAGCATGAACACTTGAGCCTGTTATAAGTCATATCCTCCTGCTCGGAAATTGTAATCATATTTCAGTGGCTGTCATACCTGCTCTCTATGATATAATGGATCCAGATCTTGCTTTTTCCTGCAAGGAAGTGGAACTATGTCAGACAGTGGTTGTTCACCACACTGAAAGAATGTATTTTATGTATTGTTGCCATGGTTTCCTCTTGCACCATATACTTCCAAGCGCTGTGGTATACATTAAGCCTAAATGAGCACATAGGATGTTTTGATGGTGAAATATAGAGTTCATATGAGCGCAGATATGGAGTCTGGCATTATGAAACTTTATTTTACTCCTCTCATGAGGCAGGGTGGTTGTGTGAACGTAAATGTTTAACAGTTTAAATTCTGTCGTCCTTATCAGTTATATAATTTTAATTATTCTCTCTCTCTCTCACTCTACAGGTCTTGATGCTGAGTTGTACTATGTGAGGGATGATGTGATAAATCATTATGCCCTTTCTTTCATCCTGCCTGTCCCCAGTGACACTAACAGCCTGCATTTCACATGGCACTCCAGCAGCAAGGTTGGCCCTGTTCATGTATCCTATGTAAACTACCATTCAAAAGTTTGGTGTCAGTACATTTGTTTTTGTTTACTTTTTGTTCATCAAAGAATCCTAAAAAAATTAATGGTTTCCACAAAAATATTAAGCAGCACAACCGTTTTCAACTGTAATAATTATAATAAATATTTCTTAACCCCTTAACTGTCAAAGATCAGCGACGGCCCCAGATTATTGTTGTTTCACTTTAACAGCACGTTAAAACATCACACTCTTACTTGATCTGGACAAACTGTACATCAGTAGAAAGATTAAAGACTCTAGCTTCTATATTTGACCACTGTTTTGATAAAACATTGTTGCAGTGACAGTAATTTATGTCAGGAGTGCAAAATAATAAATCCGTATGTGTCATATTTGGAATAGGAACGCGTTTCCCTGCTCTTCCACGTTCAGTTCTCTCCACAGCAAACACAGAGAAACCTCTGTACCCACGAAATATCCAAATAATAAACACACGATTACGATAGTATATGGTTTGTATGTGATTTTCTTGAGATTTCGGGTATTTTCATAACAAAAAAGAATGTGTACATCTGAAATGCTAATTTGTGCAGCGATATAAAATAAATAGCATATTTTAACAACGGTAAATGACCAAATTCCACATGAGATCGCAAAAGGATGTTATTACAAACACTCGATGGTGGTTTAAAGTGAGTTTTGAGTAAAAGTGTACTATTAATGTCATAAATTGTCTTATGTAGCTTGATGCTAATGTTAGCTCTAATGCAGCTGCAGTTCTTCTTCATGATATATTTTGTCATAATAATTGACATAAGGTCGCAAGAAAATGTTTTGTTGTATTTTTGTAGAAATACTTTTGATAATAGTTGGGTAAATGGACACTGGGATTGAAGCGATGTGGCTTGGAAAACCTTGTAATGCCAGAATAAAGGCTACTAATGGCTGAATAAAACAAAAGAATGATAAAGGAATAATGAGGATAATGTCTCATACCTGGCCAGACATGAGGCGACAGCATGCAGGAGAGCTTACAGAGGGCCATAAATCAATTTTATTAGCCTTTTGTTAGCCTTCTCTAAAAACACACATGTCATGGTCTTAGAAAATGTTTCATAAAATTCACAGGTTTAGAGATTATGTCCTGAAATTTGTGTTAAAGGAGACATATTATGCCCCTTTTTACAATATGTAATATAAGTCTCTGGTGTCCCCAGAATGTGTCAGAGAAATTTCAGCTCAAAATACTCCACAGATCATTTATTATATCAAATAGTCCTTTGAGGGCTAAGACACTTGTTCATTTCCCTAAATTAATGAAATATTATACTTATAACCATGTATACACACACTGCATAAAGCCCCTATTTTACAAATAATAATGCAGTCAGGAGATGGTGTGATGCAATGAGTGGTTTCCACATTTTTAAACATTTAAAATGCATGAAAATATTTTCTATCACTTTGTTTATCACTCTTGAAATGACCTGTACACTAAATAATCTAACCCTCATACTTACATAACAATAGCAGTCTATTTATTTAGTGGTCCAAGTTGAAGTCAGTATGTATATTAATGACAATATGGGAAAAATATAATGTAATTTAGTGGCGGCAGGAGCTGCGTGCTGCCGGTACATGTACAGTCAGACAAAACAACGTGCACATTTATCAAAGACGCGAGTGCGCATATAGTTGTGGAAAATGATGTTTTCGGCAGTTAAAGGCGCGGCGCGTCTGTGGAGTGCGCATCATGGGAAACAATGTGCTCAGTAATTAAAGAGGCAGGGCGGCGTTTCTGTTATTTGGTTTGTGACATCCTTTACGGGAAACGCCGGCGCAAGGCTGCTCACAGCGCTTGGTCACGTGTCGCACCAGAACCATTTTCGGAACCGAAACTTAGAAATTGCTCACGGTTCTGGTTCTTTTAAAAAAACAGAACAGTTATCGGTTCCCAACCCTAATTAGTAGGATCATGAGGCACTAAAGACCAAAGTAATGACATGCCATCACATGGATTACATTTAAAGAAAATAAAAAATGGAAAACAACTTTTAAATTGTAATATTTCACAGTATTACTGTTGTTACTGCATTATTGATCAAATAAATGCAGCCTTGATGAGTGAAATATACTTTTTTTCAAAACCAAATAAAAAAACATACCAATCCCAAACTTTTGTAATCGCTTTGTCCATTATAACTATATACTCTCCACAATCCTTGTCTTCTGTTTAGGTGGATTACAGGTTAGAGTTTCAAGTGGAAAACACTTCAGCCATGGATCAACCTCAGAGCAACATCTCTGCTCAGGGGGAGGTCCCACGCACTCGTTCAGGTGAGTGAAATATTTCTCTCTCTTTTTTCTTCCTGTCATATGTTGTATATTCAAGTGAAAAGATTCTGACTCTATCTTTGTATGTTTAAAGGTCCTTGCATAAAAATGACCTGTTCTATTGGTAAAATTACTCTTGTCAGACATTTATTTATAAAAAGTTTATATATCACAACTTAAGAACCCACAGCTTTTTTTTTTAAAGGTTTTATCTACTCTTAATTCCTGTAAGGCCTGTGCACACCAAGACAAATTCGGTGTGATAAGCATTTTAATATGAATGAACGGCAGTTAATGCAGCATTAACATTCACATGGCGTCAATGCAACTGAATTTTTTTTCACAGAGAGGTGTTAAAATCTCTTCTCTATTGCACTGTGAATAAAGACCAGCCTATACGATGCATGCTTTTGTTCACATGCCCAGAGCCGCTGCAGTTACATAAAACTATTGGTGACTTGGTGGCGCTTCCAAACAGATGATTTTGCTAAGCGACAGTGAATAGCAGAGGAAGAATCCTGTACTGGCTCTCTTGTCTCAGTACTCTTGTATTTGGTGTTGCCTGATAAACACCATAGTGAAAACTAATCTAAATGGCTCTTAGAAAACATACTGTCAATACTGTTTGCACCACTTACTGTCAGAGAGTTTTTTTGCATTTGTGTGCAACCTGTTTGATGTTTGTTCGCATTGTCTGAACAGTGTGAAAAATGGACCAAATCTTCGTGTCGAACATTCGTATTGGTGCGAACAGGTCTTTAATTGGTCTTCTCATGTAGTTTAGTAGGAATCGGGCAAATGCTAAAGTGCCAGCACAAAAGTAAAAGCAGCCCGTACCTTTCAAAAAGTTCAAAATGAGGCCCTGCATTCTAGTGTTTACAACTTGAATATTAAATCAAATCAAATTTGGTCTTCCAGTAAGTATGCTTTTTGTGTGTCACTCCAGTGTTCAGAGTGGACCTTTTCTGCTCTGGAAAGGCTGATGGAGAGGCTGTGCTAACGGTGCAGTTGAACCTGACTACACCAGTCAACAACTTCACAGTGCTCAACTTCAAACGCAGGAAAATGTGTTACAGAAGTAAGATCTTTTCATACAGTTTTACCTTATTTCCTCCAATCCATCTTTGTTTCTGAAGATCTAGATCATAGTTTGTGTTTTATTTTCACTCTTTTTTTTTTTCTGTAAATATGCTGTGAGTTTTGTGTGTTTGGCAGATTGTGTGTCAAGTTTCACATTGCCACAGACTGCAAAGATAATAATAACACAGGCTTTCTGTCATATGCTTCCCCAGTGGAAATAGCCAGTGAATTTATTCTCTGCTTATTTGAAGCACATGAGCCAAATTAACTGCCGGAGAAGAAAAAGAGTTTGTGTATGCCCCAATTTTCTCTCCCTTGTGGAATAACTGGGTCAGCGAGTGTATGCGGTGCTCAAGAAGATATTGTGTGTCTTACACTTTGTGTGGAAGGAGTGAGATTGTACTGCCCTGGCAGCAATTTACAAACCAAACATAAATGAGACCACAATGAACCAGTTCATGAGTTTAGATGAATCTCATGAGGCCCATCAAGACAATGTCACATTTCAGCCCAAAATCAAAAGAAAAAAGTAATATTTTGCTTAAAGGAAAATATTGTTCTCAATATCATAATCAAAGAAAGTAATTAAAGTGAAGTATAAACAAGAGTTGCTTTTATTGCCTTTGTATTGCCTTTGACTTGTATCAGAATCAGCATAATTTATTGCATTATAGTATCTTTTTGTGTAATACAATAAAGAGATATAATGAGAATTAAAGGGTTTTTGCTTGTCGCATATAATAAATATATACACACATATATATATATATATATATATATATATATATATATACACACATACATATACAGACAGTGAACTGGTATATGCCTTACACTTTGCTGATCCTTCCCCTCATTGACTTACTTTACAGGAATTGAGCAACCAGAGCCCCCCAAAACTCTGCCATTCCCAAACACAACCATACAGAGAATAGACCGTGAGTATTTCCGATTTATTATTTGGCCTTTTTAGTGAATGTGGTTCTACAGTGAGATAGTCTTCACTCAGCTCTTGTAAACACTCTCCCCTCTTTTGGTCTTAGCGAGCAGTTCAAATGCTCCCACCACATCCACACGAGTTTTCTACATCAGCGTGTGTGTGTGCTGCATTGTCATCTTCCTGGTAGCCATCATCCTCGCTGTGTTACACCTTCACAGCATGAAGAGAGTGGAAATGGATGACAGGTGCGTGTATGCATGCACTTCTGTGTTTTATTGTTTAGTTAGTTTAACTGCACCAAAACAGTAGTGGTCTCAGTACTACTCAGTAGTTCTCAGTAGTATAGAGCAAATATATAATATAATTATAATAATAATTTTTATAGTGGTTCTGGTCATTTGCTGTGTGTGTGTGTGTGTGTGTGTCTTTTTTATTAATTTTTTTCTATTCATTGTGGGTTGTCAGAAAAAGACAGGAAAAAAATCTCATGTCCTACTAATTTCATACCAGAGCAGGGTAGTTTCACTGTTTTTTTTTTTCTGAAATTGAATTGGGCATCAGTACAAAGAGCTGTCTTTTTCAGCATTATAAAAGGTTGGTAGATTAGATTTGATCTGCTTCTATTTACAAGAAGAGACACAGAGCTTCGTTTATCTTCTAAAACATATCAACCTCAGAACATGTGCTCAGACTTCATTTTCTACCGGTGGATTGTTTTTGCTCCACAGCCTAAGTAGTAGGCCAGAAGAAACCAGAACTGTTTAATAATGATGATGATGAGTCGGTGACATTAGATCATGATTAGGTTCAATGAGTTTCAGGAGACGGGTTAAACCTGCAGCATTTTAGGTCTTTCTTCAGAGGCCTCAGTGTTTAACCTTTGGAGTTGGAGTCTAATGGCTTTAATTAGTACAATTACACAGCACTTAGTTTTTAAATGCACTGGGGTTCAGGGCCAGGTAAAACCCTACACCTTCTGGAAAAAAAACAGATGATTTCATCATAAAAGAGGCTGTGAAAGCATTTAAAAATGAAAGACTGGTCTGTTTTAGTAAACAGATTTGAGGTTATTATAGTAAGTCGTGATATAAGCCAAAGTACCTTTCAAATTGGTGTATTTCAATTCCTAAATTAATTAATTTCCTCTCTCTAAATCTTTTAGCGTCAGCGACAGTGGAAGCTCTCAGGGTCTGTCTCAGCCGTCCACCCAGACCACCCAGTACCTGAGGGCAGACACCCCCAACAACGCTACACCTGTCACCAGTAAGACTACGACCACACCATGTCTCTCACCCCTGACCTCAGATCAGCGACTCTCTCAAACATCTCAACCATCTGCCGTAACCATCTGCACTCCTCTTCCATGTTTAAAATGAAACCAGAAACCTGTCTCTCCACCAGGAGAAGTAGCTCAAAGAGCAGATAAACATCACCAGGATGCTTTGCTCCCCATGGCTAAGACAGCAGCTTGTTAAATTGTTCTAAATTTTGTCTTGTCATGTATACACCAAATGTGCATTCCTTTATAAATGAGAAAATTGGAAACAAATGATTAAATTAGCTAAACTGGAATCAGAAGGTTGGAATAAACAGACAAACACATTCCCCCTCCACATTTTTGTCCATAAGGTTAGTCCAGCATTAATTGTTTTTGTGTGATCGAAATGAGTACAAATGTTTCTTGTGTATGCGTACTTATGAAATTGTCACGTCCCCTCACAATAGTACAAAAGTCATATGTTGGTCTCGTGGTATTTGCTCAATCCTTCACTGTCATTCGCTAGTGCCATCTTAGAGCCGTTTCTTCACACTTAGGTTGTTGTCTTTTTTTCCCTTTTTTTTTCCACCACGAGAAGCTGACCACCTCCACTTCTTTTCCAACTTAGGACGCAAATAAGACCAAATCAACAGGAAGTTAACCTCCCTTCAACTTCCAATTAGTTGAAGTTTACCTGGTGATTCCGTGGGTCTTATATTCACAGAAAATATTTAGACAGTTAAGTCACGAAATAAATGTCTCTGTGTCTTTTAATTAGATATGGAAATGTCAAATGGTACAAGACCTTTTTTTTTAATATTTAGAACAAACATCACTTGACTCAGCCAAGAAATGTATTTTCATTTTAAGCAACTGGTGTCACTCCCTACATCCGAAAATGACTACTTCCCTCCTGTACAGTATGCGAAAAGCAATGTCAAATTAGTAAAATGTCCAAATACACAGCATTCTTAAAAAAAGGTAGGCAAAATTATGCCCCAGGACAGAAGTTGCTATATTAGCAAATGGCAGGAAACTGCAAAGTAGCTGATGTAGGTAACATAACAATTCCAACATTACTAATGTTATATATCCGAATTGTTTTCATACATACCTCCCTGCATATAGAATGGTCTAGAAGCAACTTCTTCATCAGATGCGGAACATACTCAATAGTAAGCAATGTTTGCAGCTAAGTACTTTAACATGTTTAGTAATCTTGGTGTTAACAGATTTGCGCAATATTTAAGGCCAGCCTTAGCGAATACTGTCCCTCAGAGACAATCATGTTGTAAAGTTGCAAGTTATTTTCATAAACCAGTGTGGATAGTTGATCTTGGAGATATCCGCTCCATTTTGCCCAGGCTGTGTACTTACATTGTGTGTAGTGCCTCCTAGTGGTCTTACATGCTTGGAGCACTAGTCTGTTTCACGCTTATACCATGTGTTTTCTTGTCTCACTCTTCTTGTGTGTGGAATAGCTCAGGCACCATCTGCCTGCTATGATTATTCATCCTTCATATACCTCTCTCCATCTTTCTTTTTTTCTCTCTCACTCCTCTTCCCTCCCTCCACCTCTTCCTTCTTCTATCAGATGCTCATACTGGCTCTGCACCCATGCTCCAGCTTGCAGGCGCCTCCTTCCCTCACCCTGGTGCCCCCTCGCACGAAACCAAAAGTAAGTTCTGCTGCTGTGTAGCAGATAGAGAGAGCAACAGGGAATCATGACTTAATCGTGTTCATTAACCTTCTACCTTTAACCTGGTTTCTTCTTCACCATCACCATTTTTTATTTATTTTTTTATTGGTTTTCACTGAGCTCGTTCATTGGTTTACACTATATCACAGTGATGCAAAGCACAAAGACGTGTTCTCGTTTGCATGACAAGAAGGTAAATCAGATAGCCATGGTAAATTAGTTCACCCAAAAAGGAAAATTCTATCATCATTTACTCACCCTCATGTTGTTCCAAACCTGTATGAGTTGAAGAATGTGGGTAACCAAACAGTTGACTTACCATAGTTTGGAAAAAAAATGCTATGGAAATCAATGTCTACCGTCGACTGCACCTTTTGCCTACACTAACGTAGAAAAATGTATCATTACAAAAGATTACAACGATTTTGGAATGTTTTTAAACTGAGTCTCTCATGCTCACCAAGACTGCATTTATTTAATAAAAAAGACAGTAAAATAGTAATAGTTTGAAATATGATTACAATTTAAAATAACTGTTTTCTCTTTTAACGTATTTTAAAATGTAATTTATTCCTGTGATGGCAATTTTTATTTTTATTTTTTAGCAGCCATTACTCCAGTGTCCAGAAATCATTCTAAAATGCAGATCTGGTGCTCAGGAAACATGTCTTATTATGATGAGTTTTAAAAACTATACTGCTTAATGTTTTTATAAAAACTGTGATACATTTGTCTTTTTATTTTACAGACCATGAGGACTGTGTAGAGTTGACTATCGGGAATGTTAGCAGTTTCACATTAGTAACCTATAATAACCACTTGGGGGCAGCATCATGCACATTTAGTATGAGTAGAGAAATTTAGTCTAAATCAATCAGAACACTGACTAGTTGTATTGTTAGTGAAAAGTGATATTTACATTTTGTTTTGTATTCATAATCAAGTCACCTTTATTTATATAAAGTGCTTATATACAATACTGATTGTGTCAAAGCAGCTTTACTGTTATCAACTGTATTTATATAATCACTAATATAATGTTACCACAAGGCACAGTGAAGTATCGATTATAAACAGGGAAATTATTCAGACCTAAAAACAACACATGCATGAGACACAACCAAATTTAAACAGCCTTATGTACTGGTATTTGTGCTCACAGTACATTTTGATATGTTTTTTTTTTTATGTGTATTTGGCTTGTGTATTTTAAAGTACACTGCAGCTAAATGACAGAATAAAACACAGCTTTCTCTAAACATCTAATACAATTGACTGTGTATAACTGTGAGATAAAATCAGTTAAACACCAAAACATGTTCTGCAAGAGTGACGCTGCAGTATTTGCCTTTGGCAAAGCTGGGGTTTTACTTTATTGATGAAGTGTCTAAATACTTCCAGTTGTTAAAATAACACTGCAAACCTCTTTCATTCCATGAATCGTCTTTGTTTTGATTAGTCTGTTATTAGACAGGCTTTTAATTAGTTCTAATGTGAATTGTTAACACTTATTTTAATGCAGCATTTGTGTGTGTGTGTGTGTGTGTGTGTGTGTGTGTCTGATTTCAGGTTATCCCTCGCTGCGGATTGAGAAGAATGACTTGAGAAGTGTCACTCTCCTTGAGGCCAAGGCAAAGGTCAAAGACATCGCCATCTTCAGAGAGAGAGTCACACTACGAGACGTCTTGCATGAAGGTATCTAATCCCACAAGCCTCATAGACACACATGGAAACCACAGCAAGTTAATACTGCTTTTGAAAGACTCGATTCTTAGTAGCCGTGTCTATCTCAGTGCCACTGAAACTTATATCTTTCTAATAGTGGTTCTTTTGAACGACTAGTTCAACTGAAATTGCATCATGGCAAACAAATGCGTCAGCATCATTTGTCCACTCAGCTTGAGGTTAGACACTTCCCCCTGCAAAATAATTTTGTTGGATCACACAAGAGCTGTGCTCCAGCGGGAAATCTGCACTCAAGCACTTAATTGGAGTCCAAACAGAAAAGCTCTCTGCTGGACCTTGAGCCAGCACAGCTTTAGGCTTGCACAGAAGATGTTGACACAAATGTCATTAGTCACATAAGCTATACAACATAAACAAAATTCTGCGTCAAGAACCCGCCTTATTTGACTTGCGTTCTTGCAAAATCTCAGTGCAGTAATTCCCCTCTGTAGCATCTTTTTTCCATTAGTGAGACTTTGATCATGTACGTGTGGCCACAAGCTTGATGAAGCTGATTTATTATTTATAAGAAATTGTGTTTTAAGTGCTGACTTGGCAAACTAAAGCTGGTTAATCTGATTAAACCAATTTTATTGGACATTTAGGGAAATGCCAGATTATTAATATTATTATTTTTTGAAGGGACATTTGCTTGTGTGTGTGTGTGTGTGTGTGTGTGTGTGTGTGTGTGTGAAATATTAACATTTGTTGTTTTTCAGATCAG